ATATATATATATATATATATATATATATATATATATATATATATATATATATATAAATAAATTCATGGCTCTATCATGACCTCCTCCTGCATACTTTGCCACTTACTGGCTTCTGTTCTTCTTTCCTTAGTCTACCATATATTATTTCACATCATACCGTTGTGACTAACATTATACAGTATCATTCCACAGACTAAATTCACCCACTACAGATATACTCATGTACTACTTTCTGTTCAGTGACAACAGAAAAATCACTTAAAATATGAAGCCCTATAAACGTACCGATGACATCCTTCCAACTTAAAATCCTAGAGCAGATGGATTCATTAATAAATTAGACAGACAATCATTTCTGAATAGAGGTACAATGGGTATTTAACCACGAGGTTTTCCTGGAAAAAAACTAAAATCTAGTGATTTATGGAAGGGGGAAAATTGTTGCTTCCATTTGTCTTTTTAAAGTTTTCTTGAATAAATCGGTCTTTTCATATGACTGTGATTGTCAGTATATTACCTTATTACCTAGGGCCTAGTGAACTGCAATCTCATTAAATTGCAGTGTTAAACAATTACCATAAGCACTATCATTATAATACTTGAAATGTGTAGGCCCCAACAGACTGCATTCTAACAAGGATTAACTTTACTGGATATCTCACTGTAATCACAATGAGTATTGCTCTCAAACACAGAACAGAATCTAGTTTAGAAAGATTAACCTTTGACATATGTCAGGCTGTACTTGTGGTGTCATTCACATTTGCTTCTACTAAGAGAAACATAACTTGTCCATGGTACTGTAACTATTAACACTCTAAGATACTATTTACAGCTGCTTCTAAAATAGAGTCCGTTTCTACAACACCTTCACTGTGATCTGGAATAAATTTTTCCAGGCAGTTTTCTTGTGAAGCAATCGGTGAAAAGTTTGGAAAGTCTAATTCTACAGAGCCACTACCAGTAGCCTCACTTTGTGGCTGTCTCCCAGTTTTTTTCAGTTCCAAAATGTTTTTGAATGTAGTTTCTAAACTCTTATTGAGGAGTAAATCCTGTTGGGGTTCACCCGAGCCTTTCATGTTGTCAGGATGTGAAACCTCATTCTTTGGAAAGCTCCTCTGAGTTTTGTCTTGGAGGGAGTTATTATTACATATTACCTCTGAGTGAGATTCAACTGTATTCCTTGACATTTTATGTGTACCATGATTAGCTCTTGACAAGGTTTTTGACAGGTCTTCAGAACTTGAAGAATTTTCATTGGTCTTGGCAAGATCTTTACCAGCCAATTTCTCTTCAGAGACAGCCATGTATTGACTGTCAGGAGAACAGCTAGCCTTCTCAAACTTTAAAGCTTTAGTGAGGCTTTCCATTTTTTTAGTAGAAATTTTTCCTTCTAGTTGTGTCATAATGTTGTTAGGCACTAAATGAAGTTTGTCATGATTTGTAGACTCTGCTGTGCTGGATTTTGACCGGTCTCTGGTTTGGATCTTGGTAGTCTGACTGTGAGAAGTCAAAGTTTTACTACACTGATGATCACTTTCACTGGACTGTGCTTCATCAGCAGTTTCATCAAATTGTTTAGAAGAACAACAAAAATCAGCCAGATAACCATCTGAAAATTAAAAAGAAACATTTTAGTTTGGAGTTATTAAATATCAAAGACAGTAAAATGTAAAGAAGTGCTAAATAGAACAAGCATTCTTGAGTGAGTGAGCATCAAAACCCATGAATAAACAGAAGTTATTTGCCCACATTCTGACTACAGTACCTATTCAGAGCCTAAAGTCTTTATTGGCTTTCCCAAAAACATTTGTGGCAACCCAGAGCTCAACTCAGCAGACAGTCCATTCATAAGTTGACAGCACGCAAGGAAAGTGACTTCTGCAACTGTCAGCATTTAAGAATATGACTTTAATGGAATCATAAGCATATGGTTAAATATTTTGCTGGATCAGGGCCTAATAGCTCAGATTTTGATCTAATTAACCAGTGGACAAATTAAGTATAGTGCACTGTACTCCCAGATAAAGCCAGATACAAACTGGACAAATTATGTCTGATGGGAAGTTTGAGTGTCTGGAATAGTCTCAGACTTTCCCCTTGACTCTTTCTATCATTGCTGTGAGTCTTATAGGTATTGGCTATTCCAGGATTCTGAAGCTCTTCTGTCCCTACTGAAAGTTTCTGAGTAAATGGGAGATGTGCTGTTTTCTATGACAAATATCTTGTTTAATGGTGATCAGTGTAGCCAAGATGTAACTGTACTATTCTTTTAAAAACATATTTATTTGTAGTGAAAGTAAAACATGAAAAAGAGATGGTTATAAGAACAGAACTCCAGGGAATACAGCAGGGATTGAGATATGTGTGTTCTCGGGTATTGGAAATACATACAAGGAATGTGCACTCATCTTATTATGACTATAGATTCTGCTTTTTATTTGCTAAGCACTGTATAGCATCGTGCTAGAGCTGGGCAGAAAACTCAGTAATTCTGTTTCATGGAGCATTTCTAGATTTTGAAATTTGGTTTCATTCCAGTTCAGAATGAAAACCAAAAAATTTGAAATGGTCTCCCAAACAGAATTACCATTCTCTGCTCAGGTCTACTAGAAGTCCTGGCAGGATGACTCAGAGCAAGGGATCCTGAAAACCCCGGCTGCCAAAGAGCCATGAACCTGGGACTCCCAGGCCCAGGGCTTCCAGGCCTGGTTTCTGGTGGAATTTTTTTCAAAAATCTCCATAATAAGGCAGAACATTTCTATTTCAACAAATGGGAAAATTCTGACAAAAAGTATTTTACTGATATTTTTCCAAGCATTTCTAAACCCTACTGAGAATTATACTCAAAATAGGCAGTTTGAGTACAAGTTCATTTTCTGTATCATGAATACATACCAACATTTTGCTGCTCGGGGATATGGCATCAGAATTTAAAGAACACAAAAAACCAATCACACTTAAATTTCTAAAATTTTTAATTAGAATAAAAACTCACTACGTTCATCAGGAACAAAAGATACTGAAAAGTGAAATTTTATTACATTTCTGGAGAGTGTTAAATCAACATATGAACAATGAATTAGAAGATAAACTTGTCTGAAGACCTTACACTTACGAAACGTATGCTAACAGGTAAGTTAGGGATAAGATTGCGTGCTTTACACACAGACCTGAGTAGGAAATGGGGTGGAGCTACTCTGAGGGGTAATGCAGAGGGGAGTCTGGGCCATGCTCTACCTTTTCTCTGCCCTCTTCTGAGCAATTTGTTTATCATGAGGAGGAAGAAACTAGAAGTTCCTAATCACAGGGGCCCTAGTGTGATTGGTCCTTACACAAGCTACTCTGGGAAGGAGGAGAGAGGGAAGCTTCTTGTGAATCTCCCTTATACTCATGCAAGAGCTGATCATCTAAATGTAATGCTAAAATATTAAAAATATAAGAACACCCATTTTGGTACCATTTGTTTCCTTGTTAAATCAATGTTACATTTCACAGCATCATGCTTGAGAAATAAATTTTTACTGCAAAGGAAGAAAAACAGTTTTGTGCAGTGGGATTTTGTCTTGGCTTCTCCTTTATGCTATATATTAACAGTATTATTTCCTGATTTCCCTACTTCTGGTGGAGGATTCCTTGGAAGACTGGACAACTAGCCATATTAGGACAACAATTTGCTTGTACATTATGTTCCTTTCCCCTATCCTCCATATGTTTTGCCTATTTAGACTATAAACGCTTTAAGGTGGGAACCGGTCTTATTCTTTCTGTGAGGCACCTAGCACACTTTAAGCAGTTGGGAAATAATAAGCAGGATTAATAAAGCTAGGAGACTGAAATCTGGGCAAGTGACTGGAGAAGGGATTTTTAGCCACATTGTTCAAAACTCTGTTTCTATTTGAAAACTTTTTAACTCAAACATGTAAAAGACGACCTCTACTCCTTCAACTGAAAGGCAAAAACGCTTCCACTCCAGGTATCTAGTCCTACTAATCCTCTGGCAAAAATGGGAAAGATACAGTTGTATTTCTACGGTAAAAATAAGAAACAAAGCCTTTTAAAAAAATCCTTTTAGCCCTTCTTTATAGATGGTAAAGAAGCAAAAAGAACAATTTTTGTTATTGTTTCCTTTGCAGGTCTCCTTTAAATGCTAAATTGATAGCCACTTGCTTCACAAGTTTACATTGTAAGGAGGCCAAGGGACCAAACCACAGACAGGTATCACCTATATTTGCAAAAAACTGAATTTCCCCCCCAAATCTGCCCAATTCTGCTGAGGAGTTTTATTTTTATTTTCTATTCTCTCCCTCCCTGTTCTTACATTTAATATTACATAACAGAGTAAAAGCAGCAAAGAGTCCTGTGGCACCTTATAGACTAACAGACGTATTGGAGCATGAGCTTTCGTGGGTGAATACCCACTTACCCACGAAAGCTCATGCTCCAATACGTCTGTTAGTCTATAAGGTGCCACAGGACTCTCTGCTGCTTTTACAGATCCAGACTAACACAGCTACCCCTTTGATACATAACAGAGTAAGACGCTAGAAGAGTTATTAACAAAATATCTAAACCCAATTGTCTTTGCTGTGAGACCAGCTTTATAATAAATCCACAAATTACTGCATGCTGAAGTGCAGGCGGGATCATATATGTTTTACCTGACAGCAATACAAGGACCCATATCCTACATCTCCTACTCTATTAAGTAAGGTTTTTCAAAATAATGCACCAAAGCATTTGCAAGCATCCTAACTGTCTGAATACAATATCTAAAAGAAGATCATTTCATAGAATATTTTATTGTCCAAATATTTATATTTTACATTCTCTGAATGTCCTTTAAGATGAACAGAGCATCAGGATGCAACAGGAACATATACCTATACTACACAAGTGCATTTGTTGAATATTTCTGGTTGTGTCTATCAGCAGTATAGTCAATGCTGGAATTTAAGTGGTCACTGGACTCCAAAAATAACACTTCATTAAGAGAATGAGGGAATTCACATTCTCTCAGTATTATTGTATCTGGCTGGCTGCAGACTCAAAGGTCCTGTCCACAGAAGCAACACATGATTGTTGCTAACAGGATTCTTGCATGGTTTCCCACCAGTGCACCCATTATTTTTTTCCTGAGAACAACTTTAACCTTACAATGTTTCTTGATGTAAAACATGCCAACTTAGATTCTTGAAGCTGAAGGTCTGATTTCACCATAAGCCATTAATTCTGAAGCAGAAAGAGGAACTGCACTTAAAATCAACAGCTCAGTTTGGCCCCTAATATTTTTAACATCTGGAAGATTATGCAAATAGTTTTCTACTTCACAGTGCTGAAGTTAAACATTTCTTACCAGGATCCACTAGTGCAAGGCGCTTATCCCGGGACAGAGATGCCCTTTCTTCCTGGTTAAACATCCTGTCAATCATGACCATTTCTGCAGAGGGATTTATCCGCTGCAAAAGAGAATTCCTAGAAATCACTTCATATGTTCATATAAAAAAAACAATCCCGCCACAGCTTTGGAGCATGACAGGATGGATTTTAAATAAAAATTTAGGATTTTTTTCTTTTTGTATTCCACTAGTATTAACTTTCTTGGGCAGGGACTGTCTTTTATTATGTGTTTGTACAATGCCTAGTACAATGGGGTCCCCAATCTTGATTGGGGCCTCCAGGCACTATTGGAATAAAATGCAATAATTTATTATTTTGTAGTTGTTAAAGCTTTGTTTTAACAGTGAATCAATATAATTATACAAGTAACAATATTTCAAGATGGGCTACATTACTTAACATTCACATATGCAGTTTATTATCTAGCATGAAATAACTTTCTCTGTTAGAAAAAATACTCATGAAGAGCCCATACTGTAGCATTTATCAACACACTTCTGTTTCCCACCCCCTTACCCCTTTTTTTTTTAAGTTTAACTCTCTGGTGCTGACAGCTCTGCTGCATCCATTGCTGACAATGAGATTAAACCAGGAAAAACCCATCACCAAGCACTAGACAATTAACCCATTGCCTGCTACATTACATCCCATACAATTAAATCTAACACCATGGCACACTGTTCCAAATAGCATTTCCTTTCCAATGTTATGGAATCTGAATTACTGTAGATTGGTTCAAAATATAAAGGATAGATTTTTTTATATCCACCTACACTTTTGCATGCACAATTATTTCTCAGTATATTTGATATCAGTCAGATAGCAGTCTAATCAGAGAGTCAGATGCCTAAATTATGTCAAATGTACCTACAATTATTTGTGTCCGTAAAACTCAGGATAACATAAAAGACTGTACTGAAACCCACACTATTTTAAAAAGACTTTAAAGCACACCAAGCCTGAAGCAACTATGAGGATGCCCTGATATTCACACAATAGATTCCAACATTATTATTTACATAAATGACAACAGTTTTTCCTTTTTATAGTAACCTGTTATACCTGTGTCTGCACTTTTATTGTAAGCCTGTTTTCATATGTTTCTTACTCTCTGGGGAAGTTATAACTGTGGTCTATATTTTGCTATGAAGATGCAGACGACATCTGCCTTGCCTTCACTAGGATTTTAACAAGGGTTAGTTTAACACGAATTTAAAACCTTTTTGTTTTTACTAGTGAAGACACGGCCAGATGAGAGCATTTATGCACCTTCTTAACTTTAAGAATGTGAGTAGCAAAGTCAGTGGGACTACTCGCACAGTTAAAATTAGCACATTCTTAAGTGCTTTGCTGCATCAGGCCTAGGTGACTTGTCCAAAGTCACATAGGGTATGTCTACACTGCAATTAGACAATCGTGGCTGGCCTGTGCTAGCTGACTCAGGCTTGCAGGGCTTGGGCTGCATGGCTGTTTCACTGCAATGTAGACTTCCAGGATCAGGCTGGAGCCTATGCTCTAGGACCCTGCAAGATGGGAGGGTCCCAGAGATTGGGCAGCAGCTCGAGCCTGGAAGTCTACACTGCAAAGAAACAGCCCAGCAGCAGAGTCAGCTGGCACAGGCCAGCCATGGGTTTTTAATTGCAGTGTAGACATACCTATACAGAATGTCTATGGCAGAGCTATGAATAAAGTCCAGGTGCATAGTAAAGAGAGTCCTTTCTCCCCACCGTAGCCCCGGGGCAGCTTCAACCCCAAATCTCTCATCCCCGGCACCACCCCGGAGCCCACACCCCCAGCTGGAGCTCTCACCCCCCGCATCCCAACCCTCTGCCCAAGCACTCCGACACTCCAAACCCCTCGGCTCCAGCCCCGCCACATGAATTTTTTGTGCACCAATATGGAGGTGATGTGTCACACATCACCTCCATATTGGTGCACATGACAAAATTCATTCCGCACATGCGTGGGAACATTAAGAGGGAACACTATCTACAAGTCCAATCAGTCCTACTTCTTGTTCAGCCAATCGCTTAGACCGGGGTAGGGAACCTTCGGTACGCAGCCCATCAGGATAATCCGCTGGCGGGCCGCGAGACATTTTGTTTACATTCACCGTCCGCAGTGGTAGCCACAAAATAACTTGTGGATACAGAGGGAAGTAATACAGCTCTGAGATCACTCTATTCTGGACCATTAAACCTGTTTTAATAATCCATTCCAATTTGCATTAACTGATCCATACATTTCACAAAAATAATTTTTTTCTTGCTTATAAATCTTACCATTGCATCTTCTATGAGCAAACATCTGTACTTATTTAGCATAGCTTGTGTCCTTTTCAGAAGCTGTGTGGCTACAGATTCAAATTCACTGTCCACTAAAAAGACACAAAGAATACATTTAGATAATGTTCTCCAATAACTAGCACAGACTCGCAAAAGTGTCCTTTCTTTTTAGTCTTTCTGATTTACACAATCAATTTTTTCAGCACCCCATGTAATATTTAACTGCTTAAAAATTCTAATAAGCAGCAGCACAACTTTTATCATACCAAATTAAAACATAAATTACCTTTTCTTAAATCCTCCTTGGTTGGCAGTGATCCCTGGCACACATGATATGAGAGGAGTCTCTGGACTGCATCATTTAACGATCTGAATTGACTTTTATCTGGTGTCACAGCATGTGCCTGGTCCTTCTGTAACTGCTGTAGAATACTAAAAAGAAAATGACTAATATCAATAATTAACATTTATTCTAACACCGTAAGGCTATATTACAGTTTACAAACTGACAGAGTGAGAGAGGCAGAGGTTAGTAGAAATGTCTCTAACAAAACTACAAATGGAAAAAAAATGACTTACAAAGCTCCTTTTGTTAGCTGTTTAGCAGCAGGCCTCTTTTGTCCAACTGTATGAACATCCACCTAGGACCAAACCAAAACTCAATTACATTGGCTTTATCTTTTCCTTTAGAAAAAGGAAGTTATAGAATTTCCTTGCGCAAACTGCTCATTAAGTATAAAATACTTTCAATTGCCTCTCACATTTATTTTCTGTAAGCTTCTGTATCAATGAAAACAGATTACTTGAAGTCTTTGCCATAAATGTGAGCTGCCATAAATGACTCCTGCTTTGCTCATGAATGAAGTAAGCAATGGGGAAAACTACGTATCTCATCGTACACAGCCCCCCAAAAGAAACCTACCACATAGGTAGTAAACAACAATGCTAACAATTGAGTCCCACTACCTAAAGAATAAAAAATGCAATGGAGTAACTAGGGGGTGTAGCCTTAGAGCACTTTGATGATCGACTAGATATCAAGAGCAGAGCGCACAGTATTGAATTAGCAGACATGCCTTCAGATTGCTATATTGATTCATTCATATTTTAAAAATAGAACCTTTTCCTATTTTCTAAAGCTTTTAAAACTTTAAAGAGACTCCTGGAATATCTCTAAGGGGTTGGAAGACATTCCTCTTTCCTTCCTCCCACCAAAACAAACTTTTGGAAGATTAATGATTGTGTTTAGGGTAGGGATCAATGAGAATAACATGTAGGACATTATTAATTAGTATTTCTACACTGTTCCTGGTTCCTTATCTTCATTAAAATTAAGAAAAACAGATTAACTGAAAAATGCTCCCTACCTGCACATGTTGTTGGATAGGCGATGATCCTACTACTTTTTCCTGCTGTGACTGTGTTGTTCCTAAAGATTGCTGGATGATTTTACCTCCAGAATCCTGTCCTATAAAAGTACACATTAAAAAAGAGTCTATTACTCATGATTCTTAAAACAAACCACCACATAATATTTGAAGTCCTGATCTGAAAATTACATATCGATAGATGTTGATGCATAACAGTGTGTATAGGAGTATTGCTACTGCAGTCATGTAAGGAAATCAATACATATAGTAAAATGGTACTCAGATACTACAGTGCTGAAAACTATAAACATGTTTATAAATAAAGAAAATCAGTCTAAAATCTCTAAACACATCAATCCAAAATAAGAAAAAAAATCAAATATCTTAAGCATCATCCTGAAAGAGATTTGAAAAAACATAAATTGGAGTCTATCCAGCTTTTTACTAATAGTTCCCCAAAATTATAAACTCAAGACTCTGCAGCACCATTAAAAGTTGTGAATGAGTGGCTAGGTCACACACTGTTGTAGATTCAGATGGGTAGCCTCCCACCTGATTGTCTGGCTGTATAATTTAGAGGAATCATCTCAGCCCAACACACTCACCACATGTAACACAAATAGTACTGTTACTTTTTGCACAGAAACATTGTGTAGAACACGTACAATCATTGTAATATATTAAATCAAAATGGAACTAGAAGTCTAGTGACATTTCCTGTTGACTTAAGTCTATATTAGAAACTTTAAAATTGTAATTAGGATGGTGCCACTTCAAGAGCCCACATAATATCTTCTCATGTTCAGTGCATCACTACCTTAACTGAAAACTGATATTTACATCCTCTTTGCAAAACAATAACTGCTGATTAGATTCCACAACATCTTGTACCAGGAAAAACAAAATGGTGAGTAGTTAAGAGTTTTTATCACATGAGGATGGCTGGAAAGTCTTGAAGACATAACTGGAATTCTGCAGCAGAAGACCTTGGTTTGAAAGTGACTTGATATTTCTCACTTCCTTTGCTTAAACACATCACACAGATGACACATTTGGATTGTGGGAAAAGATTCTTGACTGCTCATTGTCTATCATTCCAGCAAATAGAATCAGATGGCTACTAACAATTCTTGTTGGAAAAAGACCATATGACCAATTGCTAAAGAGAAAGTCTGTGGGCTCAGCACCGTTGTTCCTCAAACGGAAAAAAAATAATAATCATTAGGACCCCCTATCGCCACCCATCATCAGTCAGCGCCTGACATAATGAAGGAGAACCCACTTCAGATGCCAGAAGGATTGGGGAAAACCATCATGAAAAGACTTTATCTGACCTGGCAACGTGTTACTCAGAAGACCTGTTAGCTGAGGTTGTCTCAAGCTATCCTGTGACTTTGATGCAGAAACTGGTGAGGACTGGTTCATAACTTTTTTCTGAGCCTGTGAAAATGCCATAGGGAAATAAAGGTTAGTCTAGTAATCACTGCAAGTTTTAACAGACATAATAACAATGCAAAAAGGAAACCTACAACTGAGCTCAACTCTTTCTCCCCTTGTGATTATGTAAGAATGGCATCAAAGAAACAAAATGAGAACAAAAACTAAACTTTCACTACATACTCACTTCTTCTGAGGAGATTTCTTATTAAATTATATTTTCTCTATATAGGCCACTTTCCTTCAAAGAACTCCCCCTCCAAATCTAAATCTTCTAAAACAGTTCATCATCTGCAAGGTTAACTGCACCATGATAGCAGTAAGTCTAGTTTTACTTTCCCTCAATACCAACACAATGACCCCCACACCTAGAAATTTTAAGAGAGAAACTCAATGCAATCATATTAATAAATTTAAATCTCAGATGAGCGGGCACGCAAAGCATCTAATAGCTGTTGTGTGGTATTTTAATGAAATTTGGAATCCCAAACATGAAAAATAACCATGTTGTGCTGACTGGTTGGAAATTAACTATTTCCCTACACTCCCTTCTCTTCTATACCTTGTGTTCTGACATATAAATAATCAGATCTTATACAACACTGTGCCAGTCAGTCCTCAGAAGTACAAAGAGTACTGATGTGTAACACATTTCCTGTGTAATTACTGGCTCTTATTTGTCCTATCAGCTAATAGAACTGGCAGCATTAGAATGCTGAAAAGTTCTGGGAGGCCCTTCTGCAGAAAAGGAAGAAAATCTTCAAGACTATTGTACCATGTCCCCATAAAACAGAAAAAGACTATCCATCCCTACCCATCCTAATAAGTGCCTTTAGTACAGGTTTTATAAATGCCACTGTCCTAAATACACAAATTTGAAGAGTTGCATGAGAGTACAACGCCAAGGAAGAAGACCAAGTATGGAAAGTCAGCATTTGTGAGATAACTAAGTAACCCTTTTTTCCTCTGGAAGTCGTATCTGCATATTCTTAACATGTGAGGGTCTCTCAAGCTGTACAAGGATCCTGGTCCAGAGAGTGGCACACTACCGAGCACTGACTAATTAATTAAAATTAAAAAATTAAAAATGGCTGCGAGCATAGAAAAAAGCTAGAGTTAATTATGGACAAGAACTGAGGTATCAGGGGCCAAACAGCCCTTTTATGACTCAGAATTTTCAGTGCCAACAAGAGGGCACTTCTGTGACTCCAATGGACACTGCTTTTCAAAACTTTCCAAAGCTCCCATCCCACAAGTGAGGAAGTACAGAGGACACCTCAAAGAAGAACAGGTAACTAGGCCAATTTATTATGCTTAAGGAAAATACAAAATAACTGTAGCTGATTTCAGAAGTGGTGTAAATTCCCACTGTTGATCAAGTGACACTAGTCATTCACTTACTGCCCCCAACAACACAAATCAATCCAGCTTGTTTCCCCCATCCCAAAACACATATGCAGTTTCTGATTCAGAGTTACACAGAATATCACTATTTTAATTTTACTGATCACTTACTAAAGAAAGCATATTTATAAGGCTTCTCTTTCACAACTGATTATATGAGAATTTTTTCTCTCCAAAGAGCTCCATAAAATTAAGCTCTTTGTAACTCTTTCAATGGTTTACAGAAGAGTGTGTCTCTGCCCCAAACTTCAAAACTGAAAATCCAAACTGACTGAGACATTTAAAGCCATACTGAACAGAGTACTAAATAAAATATGCTGCAGGGAATAATCCGGTGCTGGCAGAGAAATGGCCTAGAGCACCATATACCCTTTTCCATCTCCAATTTCTGTGGGCCAAATACTGAGAGGACCTTCGCATGCGTAACTCTCATTGAAGTCAAAATGATCTTCAGGTACTTAGCACATGCCAGAGTTTTGCCCTATGACTCTAACAGTGTGATTTTCAAAAGTGCTGACTTGGCATAGTTCTGCTCCCACTGAAATAAAAGGTAAAACTTCTATTGATTTTACTGGAAGCAGAAATAGGCCCACGCTGAACACTTTTAAAAATTTCACCACTAATCAACAAAAGCAAGACTATCTGAATTAATGGGAATGATAGATTCATCCACATTATAGAAACATTCGAAGAGGTTTTTTGATTAAATGGTTGCAGCAGGATTAGATACTTTTTCAGTAGATCAACAATATTCGTTTATAAAACAATTACCGTAAGCATAATAAATTATTTGTGAATATTTTTGGAGAATACAGTATTAAAGGACATTATCTATTAACGTCCTTCCCCACCAAAGAAAAAGGAAATGATTTAGAATGCTTTTGTGCAGTTTTGTTGGTACTTAAAGGGTATTCATACCTGAGCAAAAGTGAACTGTTGCTGTGTTACTCCTACTGATGTGCGACTGAAAGTGCTGATAGATTTAGAAGAGGAAACTGGAAGACAATGTGATACACTCACTGAAACTTGTGTTCTATTCTGCTGTGTAAGTTGATCTCCAGTAAAATTTCCTCCTGATGCAACAGACTGAACTGGTGGCCCCAGGCTGGGATGTACTGTGCCAGAAGAACTTACAACAGTAAACCGATTAGATGCTGACATATTTGAGACTGTAGACTGTCCAGGTGACATTGTAGTAAAACCTGATCTACCTTGAGAAACACTACTTTGACTGGGTGATAAATGCAACACTGTTGGTGATGCCTGTTGTAATGGCACCTGTCCACCAACAATTTGAGAAGTTCCATGATTTACTATAACTTGACTTCCAGGAGCTGTGAATGTCTGACCAGAAACTAACTGAACAGCTGTATTCTGATTATTCAGCATCTGTCCTGAATATGAATGGTTGGCCCTGAGCATGCTTGTAGAGTTCCTGTTCAGCATAACATGCTCAGCAGATACTTGGCTAGAAACCAACTGGGAAGGTTGAGTCTGAAGAAGTTGTCCATTTATGGTCTGGACATGATGAACCGAATTAGAATTGACAGAGAGACTTGTAGGTATGAGAAACTGATTTTGAGATACATGAGGCTGTCCCATAGGAGAATGGATAACAATACTACCGCCAGCATTACTAACTGTTTGAGGAGTAACTGATTTTCTTGTGTTTTGTTGATTAACAATATTAACAGACATATGAGGACCAACTACTGAATTTTGAGGTGAACTTGCTGAAGCAAAAGGAATCCCTTGTTGTACGTGATGCTGCTGTATTCCCAAGTTATTCACATTGTAAGCTGTTTGCTGACCCATCTGAATAGGCTTTGGTTGGATATTAATTGGAACTTTATTAGAATTTGGTGCTAGACCCCTCTGAATAATGATATTATGCACAGGTAAAGATGTCTGAAAATTTGTGCTGTTAAATGGGACAGTTACAGGTTGTGCTACTGGACTTGAATTTGAGTTACCAAACAGTGAGTTACCATTAGGAGTTTGTCTATGAACCAAGAGTCCGCTACTCATGTTTGCAGGTGCTTGCTGTCCACTGCCTTTCAATATAATCTGAGATCCATCAAGGTTGTTAATAGTCATCATGGAAGGTTGATTACTAAATGAACCAATTAGCTGTATCTGTCCCGAACCACTAATCTGACTACTATTAGACAAATGCTGGCTGGGAACACTAATTCCCACATGTTGCATAAAGCCATGTTGCACACCAACTGTATTGCTTGCAAAAGATGCTCCAACTGGTTGCTGTACCACTTGAGTAACTCCTATAGGTTGCAGCGTCTGACCTGAGTAATTAGACACATTAGAAGCCTGAGTAAAGGATGCTGATGAAGAAGGATGAAGCTGAGCTTGTGCAAACTGTTGGCTAGAACCTATACTGGCATCCAGATATGCCTCTTCTGCCAAAGTCTGTTCAGTAATATTGGCCTCCTGTAAGGACTTCTGAAGAATATCAAAAGGCTGATCCTCACTGAGATCAGGTAAGGGAGAAGATTCAAGTTCATCTTCAAGAAACTGAAGGCTACTTGACAGTTGTAGTCCATCACTAGGCCCCTCTCCAAGCTGATTGCTTACACCTTTGATGGAGGATTTAGGATCAGTGTTCTAAAATGAAAAACAATAAATGAATTAAATTGCATTTTTAAAATAATGTAGGATACAAACTGTTTCCAATTAAATTTTTCCCTGCAAAGAACAAAGCCCCTCTATAATACCACATCCTTGTAGCTACATATACAAGGTGAAGTTCAACCCGTGCATAGGGCCAGCACAAAGCCCTTGTACCACTTATGCCCTCAAAACAGACGGCTGGGGCAGCACTGCTAAGGAGCAAAATTCCAATCTCAACCCACCCAAAGCCAAATTCCAAAGTCATCCAAAACCCAATTCCTTTTTGGCCCATGATAAATGCAACGTCTGGGTGTGAAATTCAGAGCCAGTTTCAGATTCTGAATTCTACCTCACCCTTCAAGGGTAGGGACTTTTTGGCTTTGGATGTTTCACATAAACATTGTGAAAACTGCTGCATGACATGGTTGTCATATTGGAAAACTCTCAGACCTCTACCTTCAATGTTTGCTTTCGTCCCCCTTTCATTGATTGCCACACTACTCCATGAGTATAATTTATTTATTCAATTCACGTTTGTGTCTGCCTTTTACTGAATCTAGCTTATTTTATGAAAGCATCTCTGTCACTTTGGAATATTGAGGGATAGTTTTTGCTATTTTATTAAAGGTTTTCAAAAAAGTAACAGAAACCTTGCAATTTTACCTGTAAAACTATAATATACAGTACATGCATGAAAACACAAGGATTAAATCTAGCACAAATACTTTATCAGCACTTCAGAAACACCAAAAATTTAGGGGCCAGATTCTCTGCAGTGTGCACCTTCTATTAGGTACTGCAGAAGGGGGGCTAATTGAAACCTGGTTACATCTCCCAGATTCTCTATCCACATGAGAACAGCCTGGTGTCTGCTCTAACATGTGCCAGCTGACTATGCTACCCAAGGGACCATCCACCATCTGGGAATTGTGCTCTGGCCACTCCCTGTCCATGTGTGGGGAGTCAGGTCATTGTGGAGCACTCCACCCTAGGAAAAGGCAGTGGTGGCAGCTGAGGATATAGGAGAGGCTGAAAATAGAGCTCAGTGACATGGGCTAGCATTAGAAAAAATGGGTATAAAATGGCTTTGAACAAATTCAGGCTGGAGATCAGAAGACTGTTTCTAACCATCAGAGGAGTGAGGTTCAGGAACAGCCTCCCAATAGGAGCTGTGGGGACAAACAACTTAATTAGTTTTAAGAGAAAACTGTACCAATTTATACGTGGGATGTATGACATGATTGTGATGGTGGGGGGCCAGGCTCAGCAACCCTGAGAATGCTTTCTGGTTCATGTCAGATATTCTTAAAGCTCATGCATCAGCTGTCACCTGTAGGGGTCATCAAGGGATTTTTTCTCGAATGTATTCTGGTGTTGGTTTGGGTTTTTGTGGGTTTTTTGTTTTGCTTTTTTGTCTCCTTTGAAGCATCACAGATGGCCATGGCTGGAGATGGGACCCTGGATGGGACTCTGGTTGGTACTGAGAATTCTCTCTCTCAGGTGGCTGGCTGGCTTGTTCTTGCTCACATACTCGGGGGCTGGTTGCCCTATGTGGGGTCAGGAAGGAATTTTTCCACAGGTCATACTGACATTGACCTTGGGGATTCTTCACCATCCTCTGTGGTACGGGTGCATGGTCAGGTCCATGTGGGTGTATTTCACTTAATATCCTGCACTGAAGGGTTCTTTGGTACTGGTGCACCTCAGTCCCTCCTACTCTCTGCTGGTGGTTTATAATAGTTTAGTTTCCTGTGGGCTGTAACACTTTGGTCTAATTTCAGCTGTTGGGCTTAATGTGCATGTGTTGGTGGCCTGTGATACACAAGTCAGACTAGATTGATCTGGTGGTCACTCCTGGCCTTAAATCGTATTACTCTAAATGGGAGTAAGGAAAGAATGCAGGATACTGCCTCACGAACCTACAGCCAAAAGCCCTCTGTCCCAGCTCCCACTACCCTCACAAACATGTCAGGCTGTAGCAGGCTCTCTGCCTCTCCCAAAGCCCCTAAAGGATCACTCCTCCCCCCCCCCCCCAAATAATCCCATTGCCCTCAGCAACACCCACCTTCCCCAGCATCTCCTGCCTCCCTTTAATACCCTGTTTCCTATGGGCACCCCCAAAGTCTCCAGTTTCTGAGACATGCGGGAAATAGGCTCCTGCTCCCCCCACTCCTGCTAATCAGCAGGACCCAAGGGAGCAACTAGTGACTGTCCCAGGAAAGAAATGTCACATGTTGACCACTTCTCCCATGAGCACCTTCCTGCTTTCTCTCTGACATGTGGGGAAGAGATCCTAGTCGAAATCCACAAAGCCACGACTTTACTCTCCTTCATGTGCCTCCTTAAAACTCACCTCTACCATGATGTATACAGGGAACTGCTGTCAAATAATGGCTAGACAGGTGGCAAATTGTGATCATTGTTCCTGGCTAGCTGAAAATTGTGCACACCCTAAAACCATTTTCCCCACTTTCATCCAACCACCGTGTTTGTTTTTTCCTCCTGTCCACCTTTGTCTTTTAGACTATAAGCTGTTTGGAGTAGGGAATAATGTCATTTGCTACATGTTTGTACTGCAATATAAATGTTAATAAATAAAATAAATAAATAATGAAGGGAGTGGATGAGGGCAGTCAATTTGCCTCTATAAAAACTGCAACTACAAAGAAGTTACAGGTGCTTTAAACATGCATTCACAGTTTTCAGTGTCTAGATGTGCCTATTTTATGTCAGCTATTAACATTATTAACATCTACTCCATTTAGTTGTACACAGGACAAACCAACCATGATGAAAGCGTGTAATCACAATAAATACACATTTTCTCTTCTAAATACTTACATTGGAGTTGGCGAAAATTGAATTAGAATTGGCTGCAGAGTACCCTGCATTAGTCAAGTCTTCATTGCTCTGTTAAGGCACAAATGTAGTAAAGTAACATTAAACTAATAATAAAGCAGTCACTAAAGTTCATGTAATTTTAGAATAGTATAGTAGAATACTACTTACAGATTTACTACTAGGTCCATGTAGAAAATAATTCAGTGCCTGTGGATCTCTTTAAAAAGAAACAAAAAAAGTTATCACTTTTAAGTACTTACATTTGTTAAAAAAGCATAATTAAGACAAAAAACAATAAAAACCTTGAGCCAGGTGCTCCGTTCATGTAAATCAGTGTAGCTCCACTGACTTCAATAGAGCTATGCCAATTTACATCAGCTGAGGATCTATCTTTCTTGTTTTCAGCAAACCATGTTAATATGTAAATTTATATTCTTCACCTTTTTTTTTTTAAAGGGGCTTCCTCAAAGACAGGAATTCTCATCATTACATTTCAGAATTTCAGGTGTTTACTAATATTCATTACTAAAAAAAAAATCTAAATATCACTTTGCATGTTTACTTCCATTCTATAGGCCACTACCTATTACACTGTGTGTTAAAATAAATACCCAATATTCTATAACACAACAGACTTTGCATTAAATGGACAAACAATGGTATTAGATCAAGAAATGTAAGCACTAAAATAGGAATAGTCTCCTCTAATGAGCTCTATTGCCTGCAAATTAGCTAGTGTCCTGATAAAGAGCTACCATATTTAATAAATAAATAAAAACTAAATATTTAAGATGTTTTCTTGCCAATCTATTCATAAAAAAGAAAATTTTCTCAAGAACAACAACATTATCTTCTCGGGGAGGGGGAAAGTTATATCTTTTCCAAATGAAATCAACTGTATAACTGACTAAATGCATTTTTCCTTTGATAACTTGATAAGAAAGGACATACTGGGTCAAATCGAAGGTCCATCTAACGCAATATCCTGTCTTCCGACAGTGGCAAATGCCAGGTGCTCCAGAAGGAATTAACAGAACAGGTAATCATCAAGTGATGCATCCCCTGTCGCCCATTCTCAGCTTCTGGCAAACAGAGGCTAGGGACACCAACCCTGCCCATAATAACCATTGATGGACCTATCCTCCATGAATTTATCTAACTCTTTTTTGAACCCTGATATAGTCTTGACCTTCACAACATCCTCTGGCAAGGAGTTCCACAGGTTGACTGTGTGTTGTGTGAAAAAATAAATCCTTTTGTTTGTTTTAAACCTGCTGCCTGTTAATTTCATTTGGTGAACCCTAGTTCATGTTTTATGAGGAGTAAATAACATTCCTTATTTACTTTCTCCACACCAGTCATGATTTTATAGACATCTATCATATCCCCCCTTACTCATCTCTTTTCCAAGATGAAAAGTCCCAGGTTTATTAATCTCTCCTGATATGGAAGCCATTCCATACCCCTAATCATTTTTGTTGCCCTTTTCTGAACCTTTTCCAATTCCAATATATCTTTTTTGAGATGGGGTGCCACATCTGTATGCATTTAAGATGTGGGCATACCATGGATTTATTTAGAGGCAATATGATATTTTCTGTCTTATTATCTCTCCCTTTCTTAATAATTCCCAATATTCTGTTGGCTTTTTTGACTGCCGCTGCACATTGAGTCGATGATTTCAGACAATTATCCACAATGACTCCAAGATCTCTTTCTTGAGTGGTAACAGCTAATTTAGACCCCATCATTTTATATGTATAGTTGGGATTATGTTTTCCAATGTGCATTACTTTGCATTTGTCAACATTGAATTCCATTTGCCATTTTGTTGCCCAGTCACCCAGTTTTGTGAGATCCTTTTGTAGCTCTTCGCAGTCTGCTTGGGACTTAACTATCTCGAGCAGTTTTGTATCATCTGCAAATTTTGCTACCTCACTTGTTTACCCCTTTTTCCAGATCATTTATGAACATGTAGAATAGGACTGGTCCCATTACAGACCCCTGGGGGACACCACTATTTACCTCTCTCCATTCTGAAAACTGACCATTTATTCCTACCCTTTGTTTCCTATCTTTTAACCAGTTACCCTCCCATGACAGCTTACTTTGCTTCAGAGCCTTCAAGATACTCTTTTATTGAACAAAATATTGATACACAATTAAAAAAAGAAGTGCAGCTAGATGAATTAAGTATTTGCAGTTCAAATGTATTAAAAAATACACAATCATGCAATGCAAATCTGATGGTAAATATTCTCAATGTATGCATACAAATATGTGACTAAATTACAGGGATTAATTTGCAGTTATTGCTAAATATAGCAATTATACAATTATTTTCTTGACACACCCATTAATGTACACATTCAATTCAAAAAGTTACATGAACTCTTTGATTTAACAGAAATAATCTTTATTTGTAAATAGTTCTAATAAAACATTTTGAAAAACATTTTTATGGATCTCCCCAATAAACACCAGGGTCAATCTGAAAATTTTCCTCTTCTTTCTTTATCATCCTAAAAGAAAAACAGAAAACAAAATAAAGACAGCTCAAGTTTCCGTATAAGTTTCTAGCATAAGCTCACAAACACCAAGAAAATCATGCTGCAACTATACAAATGCCCTAAACCCTTTTGGTTCAGCCAGTTGTACTCTGTGCCTCTAGAATAGTGCTTTAGTTTAGTATGAGAACATTTTCATGGAATTGGATATCTGATTCATTCCTACTCAGCTAATGGTCATATCTATTTAAATCAAGCCTAATTAGCTAGAATAAATAACTACAGTTGGCATTTAATTAAACTAGATTGAAAATAGGGGGGGAAAACTGAATATTTTTCAAAATCTTCATAAAGTACATTCCAATTCAAACTCCGTTGCAATAATAAGACTAAATAGTGATTTTTAACTGCAAAGTACAGAGCTAATCTTAGAATGGACCTAATTTGTTTCCTGCCACTTGTTCTGCTAATAAGATGGTAAGCTTTTGCTTACTAGCTAGTTACACTAACTAATGAAATGCCTTTTATATTTATTTTAATTTAAATGGGGCTTTTTTTTAAAAAAGGAGAGAGCTGGAAACCTAATTCCTGTATAAAGTTAATATTAATGAATACAGTATAGCATGGGGCTCTGTAATCTAGCTGGAAAAGGTGTATAATGAGTTCCAATGACTGGAAGTGGAAAATGGGACATTCAGGCGAGAAATAAGATGTACATTATTAACAGTGAAGGTAACTAACTATTGGAACAAACACTGCTAGGGACTTGGTGGATTTTCCCATCACCTGAAGTCTTTAAATTAAGACTAGATACATTTCTAAAAGCTATGTTGTAGCTCAAACAGATGTTATACTATACACATTTTAAACATACTGCATGATATACATGACACTCAGTTAACATCTAGGCATCTAAGATCAGATTCTACTCACACACATTACAACCTTCACACACTATATTTTTAAAAGAAATCTCATTTTCAGTACAGATTACAGAAAATTAAAAGGGGAAAGGGGAAAGGCTTCACTGTCTCATTCATACATGGACGCGTTGGGTTTATGGGGTTTTGCTGATACATAACCAAGACCTTTACTATCAATACTGCTTACCAGCTTTTATGATCATGACAAATTTAAATGTTGATGTTTTATCATCACCCTAGCTAACCACCCTAGCTAACCATCCTATCTTATAACTTTTATTATTTCTAAAAATAAATCCATAAAGATTAGAAGACACTTACCAAACTGAAAGATTTAATGAAGACAAACTTCAGTTTTTCTGTCCTGCCAGATGCTCTGAATGATAGCTGATACAAGCAGTAAAAAGGGACACTACAACAAATAATGCATTACACCCAACACCCTCCTATTTGTAGGATCTCATCTTCTGAACATTCTGTGGACTTGGACTGGAATTCTTGTAACTTGGCTTATTATTGAGCGCTTTCATTTTTGTTTCCATTCGGACAATTCTTAAGCTGATGCTCCAGGCAGGATGTAAATCTGTTCCCTTTGGTGGCTGAAGTCAGCAGTCTCATATTATAACACTGTACATGACGACTGTTAGGCAACACTACCAACAATTTGTTATTTGGTAGGCTATTCACATACTAATCTGATCTAATTATAGTGATTATTGGGCCTGATACTTCATTCTTTTTGCATTCAAGGCTCTCACTGGTTTCAGTGGAAGTTTTGGGTGCATAAGCAATGCAAGATAAAGCTCACTGTTCGCTATACTTGACATATATGGATAGATTTGTCTTCTTGACTTCATCTACTCCTAGAATCATGCAGGAAAACTTTCCTATTGCAGTGACTGGCATAACATTTGAAAAAAAAAATTCAGAGTCTGAAAAAAGTAATAGATACTGGATATTCAATATGTTCTACACATTTTGGACATACACCTCTACCCCAATATAACGCAGCCCCATATAACACAAATTCTGATATAACGCGGTAAAACAGTGCTCGGGGGGGGGCGGAGCTGCGCACTCCGGCGGATCAAAGCAAGTTTGATATAACGCGGTTTCACCTATAACACGGTAAGATTTTTTGGCTCCGAGGACAGAGTTATATCAAGGTAGAGATGTATTACGATAAATGTCTGCTCTTGAAGAACTATATAGATATTTTGGCCAGTCAAGGGAAAAGGACTTCACCATGCCTACAGTAAATATACCTCAATTCCACATAAAGCTTTTCTTGGTTGCAACTGTACCTAAATATTGATTTTTTAATCCTATATAGAATACACATCAATTTGCATGTAAAAGTGGTACAGAATGGAATAGAAATAATGCAAAGTAAGAAGACTATGGTTTTGGTTGGTTGGTTTGGGGAGGTTTTTTTTTGTTTGTTTGTTTGTTTACACAAATAGGGATTTAAAATAAAAATGCCTTTGAATGGACAAAAGTTGATAACCTTTAAAATTCCTGATTGTCATTCTTTATAATACCGGTAGCAATTCAACTCTTATAAAATTGGTACACAAATGCATTTTATCTTCTGTAAAAATAATTTAGGTAGCTTGTATTTTGAAACAGTCTATATATTTTAATTATATTTTCATTTAGAAGGTAATGTTTGTGAAGATGCTATACTGACAGCCCTGAAGGCTAAAGTCCTTTATCTAGCCAAAAAAGAGGTATTTCCTTTGCATCAATAGTGTGGGACAGGTTTCCCTGTTTGCTAATGTGCCTCAGCACTGACCTGACAGGACCATCATTGGGCAAGCGGGGAAGTCAGTGTCATGCCAAAAACCAGTGGACTACCAATTAGCATAAACTCTGATTTTGACTATCTGTTCATTTCACTTACAGGCCTCCAAACTATCACATGACACCAACTTTCAGAGACTACTGAAAATTAATCATCTTTTATATGGATTAATTTTGTACAATGATTTTTGCATAGATTTTTCTTTTAAGAATTTCTTAAGGGGAACTTACCCAATAAGATCAAGGAGACAGGACTCATCGTCGTCATCATCCATGACAACTAAAGCAAAAAAGGAAATGACTGGTATTTCATCAAAATCAGAGAAAAAATTTCCTTCAACAATAAAACAATTTCAAAGCACATCAGTTTTTTTCAATAAACAATTTGTGGGAATTGTGTGATATTTACTCTGGGCCACATTCTTAGATGTACATCTGCCACTAAGGTTAATACGAGTCCTGAAGCTAATGTGAGTTCTTCACTCTTATCTGAGTGCAGAATTTAGCCCCATGTATCTATCTGTGTAAACATAATGCAGTAATTTAATCCTGTCATTCTGTGGTTATTTTAAAAATGAAGGAAGACAATGGCCTGACCAAACTGACCAATTGGACCACTTTGTAGATGAAAAAATGTTAATTATAGACTCATGTTTCTCTCACAGTAAAATACGTTTCTGGGAATTTTTGTTTTCATTAACAGCTCACCCATTAGGGAACAAATGAGCGTTGCAAAACCTGGAACATTGGGGACTACTAAGCATGGTGTTTTGTTACTCACAATACAATAAGGTGAAGTAATCTGAGGGGAGTAGGAACCACAGCCCAGTGGCCTGGAAAGAACACTATATGCCCAACCTAAGTCATAAGGCACTGAGCAGCTGGCTGAGAAGGATGCTGTTTTCTCAGAACCCTTTAACACACATTTGTGTCAGTGGCTGGCCCTTAAAGATATGCCCATTCTTAGTTCCTTCTAAGTGACACTCATAAGCATACTTCAGTAAGGTCTTGGTAATAGAAGTAGTAACTGAAAATCCTAAAAAAATATCTGCTACGCCCATCACTTGCATTAACTGGATTGTATTTAATCACTTGTGCATTAGTTCTCACACTTCTTATCAAACTATCTGTACTGGGCTATCTTGATTACTACTTCAAAAGTTTTTTTCTCTTACTTAATTGGCCTCTCAGAGTTGGTAAGACAACTCCCACCTGTTCATGCTCTCTGTATGTGTGTATATATATCTCCTCAATATATATTCCACTCTATATGCATCCGAAGAAGTGGGCTGTAGTCCACGAAAGCTTATGCTCTAATAAATTTGTTAGTCTCTAAGGTGCCACAAGTACTCCTGTTCTTTTTGCGGATACAGACTAACACGGCTGCTACTCTGAAACCTACCATTAGTTACACCCTATCTCTACTTCCAAACCATCATGGCCATCTTCTCCCCTACTCTCAATGCTTGTTCAGTTTTGTATGGATGTTCTTCTGCATTTATAATGTTGATCGCTTTCTCCTCTGCTTGCTCTGCTCTTTAGGCTTCTGAGATTGTAGGATTCTGGTTCTCCTACCACAATAACCATCATCATCTCATTTGACTGCTCCATCTCCTTTGCCCTTTTCCACTCCATTGATACCCATTAAGGTTCTATCCTTTCACTGCCTCTCTCGCCCTCCTTTACTCTCTCTTTAGGTGACCTCATCTGCTCTCACTATTTAAGATACAAACTCTATGCTGGCATTTCCCAAATCTATCTCCATAACCCTGACCTCCCATCAACTATCCACTCTCACGTCTCCAAATGCCTTTATATCATCTCCTCAGGAGTGTCTTGCAACCACCTCAAATTTAACATGTCCAAAATGAAATTTGTTAGTAATCTCTCTCAATTTCCTCTCTTCTCTATTTTGCTGACAACTCCACTATCTCCCCTATCAGCTGGACTCGCAAACAAGGTGTTATCCAAAATGGGTTTGGGGGGGGGGGGATATGCAGGGTGCATGCAGCCCTTCTATACTGCAGAGCCCCACTCAGTAAGGATTCCCTCTGCATTAGTTTGCAGAAGCAGGGGAGGGGTGGCCCACCACTGTGTGGATCCTTCAGTGCTCACTCCTGTTGGGTGCAGGAGGGGACGGGGACAAGTTGAGCCTACAGAGATCTATTTCAACTACTGGACTAAAGTAGCATCCATGGAGTGACTCTGCACCCTAGGAAAGAGAATTCTTTCCCCTATGGACTAGTCCCTCTACTCAATGCCAAATCCAGCTATTCAGTATGGATGCTGGGTTGAGGATTTAAACCACAATGACTTACAACATAAACACTATTTTATTATGTCACTGCACTCTTAATATGTACTATTAAGAATAAATGTTTAGCCTAGAGCTTTCTTTAACTCTATTCCTAGTAGTGTTTTTAGTATGTTGTTCTTTCCTGTGTTCTAACAGCAGAATTTTGAGTCCACGCATGGAGTATTGCTTCAGTGGTGGGATTTTCTAAGGGCTTGTCTACACATACCCCATTACAGTGGCACATAACGCTTCACTGTAGACACTCACTACAGTGACAGGAGAGGTTCCCCCATTGCTGTAGTTAATCCATGTGCCCTAGAGGCAGTAGCTAGATTGATGGAAGAATTCTTCCATCAACCTAGCCCTGTCCATACCGAGGTTTAGTTCGGCATAGTTTCACACTCCTGAGACACATCACCATGCTGATATAAGTTTTCGGTGTAGACCAGCCCTCATATGCACAAGTCTCACTGAAAATCAATAAAATTTGTGCTGCAATACATTGGTGCTTTTGAAAACCCCACCCCAAAAATACAATGGCAGTATATTTTCTTATGTAAAAAAAGTTCTGTGGCTACTTCACAGGACACTACTGTGCAACCAACTACTGATAAACAACTGAACTTGAGAAGAAGCAAAAATAAAGATGGAAATGTTTTACCAAATGGACCATAAAATCTGTTGTGACAAAGTAATAAAGGTTATAGATTTTAAGAAAAAAGAAATAAAAGTCTAAGTAACAATGCAGAAGTTTTGCTCAGCTTCAGTATTTACATGTGCATCAAAGCAACTAAAACAAATAAGCTGAATTTGACAGTAAAAGCTCAAACATTTGTCAAAATCTGCAAATTATATTTAAAAAAGAAAAGGTAGGATTGAATGAAAATGCATAATAAATTAAAATTTCAGTGGTAATTCATATTCTTCTTTACAATCTTTAAACTTTATAAAATCTTGACACTAAGGACTTTTTTGATTAATTCAAAATGAAAAATATCTATCAATACGTTTTTCTTCATTCTGCAAGTCTCAAGTTCTATTAAAATCTACCCAACATACTGTTAACAATATAAAAGAAAGATACATATACTGTACATTTTAGCAAGCAGCAAAGATCAAGGGCAGCCATGATTAGCAAGGTCCCAAACAAAATCACGCTTACAACATGCCAGAATAATGAATTGTGCTGTGAGCTACAGACTCATTGCCAGTGGAGTACACTTTTAAGAGCCCAAATACAAAGTTCTGCACCTGGAAGGGAATTGAGCCAGCCAGGGAGTTGTCTATGTAAAATCTATCCCCTTAAAACGTAGGATCCTAAGCATGTAACCTGTAAAGGACTAAGACTTTTTAAAATGAAAAAAAACTCAACCACACATAAAATGGCTTAGAAATATGAGCACAGAGATTACCCCTCAGGCTATTCAAGATATGAGTAGCAGAGGCATATTACGTGGCATACTACAATATTTATGCTCAGACAGTTCCTAACCGTGAAATGGCTTTTGTGCAGAAACAGCCATTAGTCTTCAGTCAGTTACCTCTTCTGTTAGTAAGAAGGCACAGATTGTGTGAATCTAGGCTTTGATCAGAAGAACAGTTGTTAACAGGGCCGGCTCCAGGCACCAGCCCACCAAGCATGTGCTTGGGGCGGCACCTGGAGGGGGGCGGCGTGGCGGGGCGCTCCGGCCCGAGAGCGGGGCCGCGACTGGGCTCGCTGCGCTCCCCGCGGCGCTCCAGCCGGTCAGGGCGAGCGGAGAGCCGCGGCGGGCTCGCCGCCTTCCCACCAGTGCTCTGGCCGCTGGGGGCTCTCTGCCCTCCCCCCGGCACTCTGGCCACCGGGGAAAGCGGAGAGCCCCGGCCGGGCTCTCCGCCCTGCTCCCAGCGCTCTGGCCGCCGGGGGGAGCGGAGCCGCGGCGGGCTCGGCGCCCTCCCCCGGCGCTCCGGACGGTCGGGGATTGTGGGCCCGCGGCCGGGCTCGGCGCCCTCCCCTGCCGCGGTGGGGGCGGCGAGTGGCTTTTTTGCCTAGGGCGGCAAAAAAGCCAGAGCTGGCCCTGGTTGTTAACATTGTTTTTGCAGTGTATTTCCATGCTCGTTCAGGGGTCTGTTACACCTATTTCTAGGTTTCAGACAGAATTAGGCCCATAATCTCTAAACATCACATAAACAGAAAAAAAGACCATCACAAAATACAAATAACCTGGATGACAATCCACACATAACAGGTCTTTAGAGATGAAATGAGTCAATGTAAGATACCTGATTTAGGACCAACTTTATTCTTTTTTCCATACTTCTAATGAAATTCCCATTAATGCCAACAGAAATTCTGTGCATGTATGGAAAGGAGAATAGATTCCATTCAGTGATCTGGTTCAATAGACATATGCAAAAAATTACTATCAGCAGTCTTTACACAATCAATGCAACAGTACTTCACACTAGCCAAAAATACACAGATCATATTTCTGGACATCTCGGATCCAAAAATGGTTATATTCTACTGAGGGCATCATCCATATATATTAGAAGGGCCATATGCTCTTGGGACTTGATACAATTCAAATAATAGAAACTGTAGCAACTTCCTACTATTATAGCCTCAAGTGACTGCCACAACTTCCTACTTAATACGATGCCATACTGCATTGCAAGAGGAAAAATGATACCGCACAGAGTCTGCGAAAGATCTACAAATAGCATATAGAGGATGTGGTCTGTGGAAAAGTGGTTCAAGTTTAGAACTAAGTATGAAACTTAGAGGCTAATTAGATATTTAGGCTAAATTCTAGTCAGTTCACTGGTGTAAAGCTGGAGTAATTCTATTTACCTCCATTAAATTATTCCTGATGTACATTAGTGTAACTGATAGCAGAATTTTACTCATAGAGACCTAGATACTATGGTGATTGATGCTCTATAAATACCATAAGGTAACTAAGTTAAAGATACTGAGCCAAATTCAATGTGATGCAAGCAAGTGCAAGTCCTTAAGCTTACCTGTTTAAAAAAGGGAACAAATTTAACAGGTAGGGTGGCCAGGTGTCCAATTTTTGACAGAATACCTGGCTGAAAAGGGACCCTGGAAGCTCCAGTCAGCACTGCTGACCAGGCCATTAAAAGTCTGATCAGCAGCGTAGCGGGGCTAACCATGGCTCCGCGTGGCTCCCGGAAGCAGTGGCATGTCCCCCCTCCGGCTCCTATGTGTAGGGGCAGCAAGTGGGCTCCACACATTGTCCCCACCGCAAGCCCCGGCTTTGCAGTTCCCATTGGCCGGGAACTGCAGCCAATGGGAGCTGTGGGGGCGGTGCCTATGGACGTGGCAGCGCGCAGAGCCGCTTGGCTGTGCCTCCGCCTAGGAGATGGAGGGGGGACATGCTGCTGCTTCCGGAACTCTGGACCAGGAGCTGCTTGAGGTAAGCACCACCCAAAGACTGCAACCCTGATCCCTTCCTATGTCTCAATCCCATTCCAGCCTTGTTCCCCCTCCCATCCTTCGAACCCCTCAATCCCAGCCCAGAGCACCCTCCTGCACCCCAAACCTCTCATCCCCAGCCGCACCCCAGCCAAAGCCCTCATCCCGCCCCATACCCCAACCCACTGTCCCATCCCTGTTCCCCCTCCCATCCTTCGAACCCCTCAATCCCAGCC